AAACAAGCTTTCGTTAGTAGCGACCTGAACAAAATAAGGATAATTTTGATGCTTTGAGCGAAGGCTTTTCGTCTGGAGTTACTATAGCGAGTAACTGCCTTCACTCGAAACGTCGAAATTCTCCTTATATTTTTCACGTAGTTTCATCCCTACCAACGAAAGCTTGTTTATATAAATGAAGTTATATATTGCATGAAATTTAAGGCAACAAACATAATGTGGACAACCTAATTCTCCTCCCCCTCCCCCCAATATTTGGCGTAAGTGCCCACACTGTTTAAAAATAAACTTAACATTGTGTCTAGGCTTCATTCAGATGTTCCCTTCTCCTCGTGGAGTACAGATATGGTTGTGAGCTGGTTAGAAGATGAAGGTTTAGGACAATATACTGATGTTTGTTCAAACCATGTAACGTCTGGTGATGATCTGGTGAAAATGACGTCAGCAGACCTTGAGAAAGTCCTGGGAATGAAAAAAATGTTGCATCGAAAGAAACTTCATCTGGCACTGCAGGTATGAAGCGCTAGCCTTCTCTCAAACAAGACAAACTGCGGAAAAGTCTGGCCTCAATAATAATTCTGTGCCCTATATATACTACAGTAACAGAGACTCTGTAACAGAGACTTTACTACTGTGTTGGAAACGGGTCTTCACAACACAATCACAAAATTAATAAAATATATAATAAAACAAAAATAAATTTACAAGTATAATCTGATATGTAGTTCACGCTTCGCTAAGGTTTTTCGATCAACAACGTGTTCGTTACATTCGTCCCCGGAATTACATCACCCCGGGCAAAGTTCCCAGTGGACTAATTTCCGACATTGCGCAATTTACTTCACTCTCCCCCTATTTGACTTGCTACAAGACAAATATATAACCTAGTAAATTACGCGCTAAACAACTAACTTTAATGTAAATGTATCTTTAGTTCATGCTAAGTGTTCTCTCTAGTCCAATTCGTCTAGTTCATTTCTAGCAATGTTCGCTATACGTTTACGAGCTTCGACTGCTGCGGCTCTCGTAGTTCTTTCAGATGACTTTTCTTGTTTTTCGTTTGTTCCAATATCTTCAGTTGGGTGGCTATCACACGATAATTCCATCGGAAATAGATGTTGCATCGCACGTTCGATATGGGACTTCCCTGCTCTCAACCGCGCTCCTCTTATTACACCGTCTCTGCCGACAATGAACGATTCGATTATCCCAATTTTCCACTTCCCTCGGTTGCGTTCGTCTCCTTTAATTAGAACTACGTCACCTCGTTTCGCTGTCATCTGCTTCGTGTTGTGCTTTAGCTTGTGTCTTTCTCGTAATGATTTGAGGTATTCATTCGTCCATCTGGACCAAACGACATCTTTACATCTTCTCAAGTATCTTGCACGTTTACGAAGGTCGATATTTTCAACTCCGGCAGTTTCT